ATCATCATCATCATCAGCAGCAGCAGCATCATCATCATCATCATCATCATCATCATCATCATCATCATCATCATCATCATCAACATCAACATCAACATCAACATCATCATCATCATCATCATCATCATCATCCTCATCCTCATCCTCATCCTCATCTCCATCCTAATCCTCATCCTCATCCTCATCATCATCATCATTACCGTCACCATCATCATCATCACCATCATCATCAGCATAAGCATAAGCATAAGCATCAGCATCAGCATCAGCATTAACATCACCAAACCATCGCTTCCACCACCACCATCATCATCAGCAGCATCATCCTCATAATCCTCATCATCACCATCATGATCAATCATCATCAGCATTATCATCATAATCAGCATCGTCAACATCATCGTCATCAACATCATGGTCATCATCACATAACAACATCAACACCATTACCATCACCATCATCGTCACCATCATCATCACCACCATCATCAGCAGCATCGGAATCCTCATCGTCCTGATCACCACTACCATGATCAATCATCATCATCAGCATCACTATCATGATCATAAACAGCTCAGCATCGTCAACAGCATCATCATCATCAACATCATCGTCATCATCACCGACAACATCAACAACATTACCATCACCATCATCATCACATGGTCATCACATCATCATCATCATCAGCATCATCATCATCATCATCATCAGCATCATCATCGTCATCGTCATCATCATCATTCTTCCCCCCTCGGCCTCCTCCTCCGCAGGCTGGGCCGGGCGTTTCGCCTCAGACTTCCTCCCCACTCATTTCACGCCTGAAGTCTACAACGGTTCCAAGGATGGATGCCGGGTCGCTTTCAAAATGCAGCTCTCGCCTGAGCGCAGCGCAAACTAGTTTAAAAAGTCTGCGACAATTAAGGATGGAGGGCGGGCCATTGTTTAAATGGAAGTCTCGCTTCGATTAAGAGCTTGAAGCAATTTCAAAGATAGAGCTGGCTTCCTTTTCAACATGTGGTTCTCGCCATATCGCCACGCGCATTCGCCCTTAAACGTATGTAGACATTCCAAAGGGTTAGTAAGGCTGAAGTCCCAGGAATGGTTTTCTGACACGGTTCGGGAATGTCAGGACGCAACGGTTACGTTGATTCGCGGCGTTGAAGTCCCAGAGTGGTGTTTTGGCACGATCTAGGATTCTCAAAACAAATCGTAAACTGAGGGATGCCCGAATCCGAGTGAACTGTAAAGCTGTGGTTGCATTGTTTGAATTATCCACTCCTGCAATGAAAATAGTTGTCGGGACCTGTGGATAGGGAACTTGGAGAGAGGGTGTACTGCAACATCATTGATGCGTATTGGGTCACCACTGGTCCTCCTCCTCCTCCTCCTCATCATCATCCTCATTATTATCATTATTATCATTATTATCATTATTATCATCATCATCATCATCATCATCATCCTCATCTCCATCCTCATCCTCATCCTCATCCTCATCCTCATCCTCATCCTCATCCTCATCCTCATCCTCATCCTCATCCTCATCCTCATCCTCATCCTCCCTCCCTCCCTCCTTCCCTCCCTCTTCCTCCTCCTCATCCCCCTCCTCATCCTCCCTCTCAGTAGAAGGGAGAGCCGACGTGGCGGGCCCGACCCGAAGCGCCGAGGCGGAGTCGAAGAAGTCGGGGGCGAAGCAGCAGCTGCGGGAACGCCTGGTGCCAGGAGTGAGAGAGGGAGTAGGGGGGGGAGGGAGGGAACACGTAGGAATTGCAATAGAGAGGGCACCCCTTTGTGAAATGCACTACAGCTCCCGCCCTCCTCCCTAGCAGTAATGACACTCGTTCAAATAATTACCATAACCATGAAACCGTGCGAAAAAGACGCCTCCCAGACGGCCCCAGAATCCCTCAAGACGGCTCCATGAGAGTGCCCAGACGGGGGGCCCGAACGAACATTTCGGACTTCAGCCCCAACAGCCCCCAAGAGACCCCGAGGAAGCCCCAGGAGGCCCGGGGGCCCTCAGAAACGGACCCGGGGCGCAACACTGCGTCAGCAGGCCCCCGGAAGGGGTCCAGGGTCCAGGGACCGGCTTCGAGTAGTCCAGGGGGAGGAAGAGGAGGAGGAGGAGGAGGAGGAGGCGGAGGAGGAGGAGGAGCAGGAGGAGGAGGAGGGGGAGAAAGGAGCATCTGTGCTCTACTCCACACGAGGGCCCAACGCAGGAGGGCTGGGAAATACGGGAGGGAAAACGCCCAGCAGCGGTGCTTACCGTCCGAAAGCCTGGTGCGCCGCGCTATCGCTCTCTTCCTTTCCCCCCCCCTCTGACAAAGCTCCGCTCAAACTCGTTCGTCGGGACCCTCCCAGGGTCCACCCGGTGCACTTACTTTTGCACCCCGGATCCGTTTTTGGAGCCCTGGAACACCAAGACGTCCCCCAGTGACCGAAAAAAGAGAAACACTTCCTCGAACCTCCAACCTGGAAGGTCGCCATCGCTTTGCATGCCAGCACGATGCACCACAGGCCGACCCTCAAGCGGCAGGGGTGCAGGCTCTGAGGCAAAACACCGTGGCCTCCTGCCCCTCCCCCTCCCGCCTGCGCCTCGCCCTTCCGCCGCTTCCCTTCCCCTTCCCCTCCCCCTCCCACACCTCCTCCCCCTCCACTCTTCCCCTCTCCTCCTCCCCCTCCCCCTCCCCCTCCTCTCCTCTCATCCCCTCCCCTCCTTTCCTTTGCCCCCCTCGCCGTTTCCCTCCCCTGCCCCTGCGGAAGTACACGCCAGGATGGCCCGGGAAGGCCCCAAGACGGCCCAAAGGCCCCCCAGCCCGGGAAGGCCCCAACAAGGACTCGCGATCGTCGTCGCCGTCGCCGTCGCCGTCGTCGTCGTCGTCGTCGTCGTCGTCGTCGTTCATCGTCCCCCTTCAGGGTCGGCGGCATCGGCCGTAAGGCCTTCGCAATAATTACCATAACCATGAAACCGTGCGAAAAAGAAACACAACTGACAGTCCGCAGTGCATGGGATACAGCTTATGGTAATTCAATGTGCTCCTGTAAACATTGCCCGATGCAGCAATTATCTTTCGTTGCAGTCATGCTGGCGTCCGTGCTCGCTGCAATTAGCAGAGCGAGCAACAACGTTATGAATTGCCCGCTGCATGTTCTTTAAACAAGCTGCAGCATTCGTGAGAACGATGCATCCCACAAGGTCCCGGCCCCCCTCCCGCACTCACCACGTCAAACGTTACCGCCCGCATCCACCACGGCAGTGTACCGACCCCCAAACACAAACTGTTGCGGGCGCCGCCTCCTGTCACAAGCGCGACCATCGCCACCGTCACCCAGCGGCCACGAGGCTTCAGGCCCGCCGGCCCTCCCCCGCGAGGCCGCACCCCCCCTGCGGCGAGACCCCGCGGGCCCCCGTTCAGCCAGAAGGAGAACACTGCCGGCGTCCGGCGCCGCCCTCGCCGACCCGAGCACCCCACCGGGGGTCGGGATACGGCGGGCGTGTTCGCGCGCGCAAAACATGTCGCGCACCTGTCAGACGTTACACCTGGTGATGCGACCGCTGCCAGCGGCCGCCAGGGAAGGAAGGCCCCCTCCCCGCACGCGCTGACCTGCGCGGCGTTCTCGCACCTGCGACGCACACGTTCGGCCGACCCGAGGCAGGACCCCTCGCAGCCGGTGCGCATCGCCTCTTGCACGGCGAAGTCCACGCCGGCGCCCATCCCAAATTCTCCCCGGTAACCCCACCGGGGCCCAGGGTGTGGTGGGTGGGAAACAAACCAACAGCAACCGCTGTCGCCAACGCGCTTTGCTCGCACGATCCAATTGCGCGCTCTGATGCGCGCAGTCCCTGCGAGCGCGCGCGGGCGTCCCCTTCTGTCATGATTATGGTTCCCTGACCCGAGCCTCCCCGAGCCTAAAGTCAACGCATAATCACCGACAGCCTATTCCCCGCGCCGCGCCCTGCGCGGCCCCTGGCAACTTTCGCGCGCCGCGAATCGCACGCGCCCCGCCGCGGCGCGAAGCGCACGCGGGCGGCCCGCTCCTCCGCGCGCGCGCGCGCTCCACCTGCGAACACGGCGCGCGACGGCCCCATCCTCCCACCCATTCCCCCAACCCATACCCCGTCCCCCGACCCCAGAAAGTGCAACGGTGCTCCGGGGGTGCAGAACGACCTTGGGGTGACCAAACCCCCCGAATGGAACACCTGCGTGAAGAAGGCAAGACCCTGGCGTGGCTCGCCAGTAATGCCGCTCTCCCCAACGCTGCTCTGGCTCCGCGTTTCTGCACCCCCAACGCTGTTCTGGGTCCGACGCCGCTCCGCAATCGCGCGTCGATGTACACGGCGCCCCGTGTCTGAGGCATGCCCGTGCCCCGCGGCTGGGCCCGCGCTCACCTCTCCTGCGCGGACTCCTTCTTTACGGCGAATCCACTGAGCCTGGCGCGGCACGCTGCACGCCGCGGCCCACCCCCCGCGAATTGCCCTCGCGGAACGCGCCTTCCGCGCGCCGTAGCACCCAACGCCACGCGTCTAGTAAGCACCCGCGCCACGCGGCCGGGTCCACTCTCACCTCGCCGGTACGAAAACCATTCTCCCGGGCGAAGCTATCCTCGCCGAGCCGCCTGGCACCGCGCGAGTGGACGACTCGGGGGAAGGCCGCCCCCGCGCGCGCACGGCGCGCCGTGAGATCCCGTCCGACCAGTTGCTTTTCGAGTCTACCCACTCGAGCCAGGTGGACATGTCGCAGTGAAACTGGCGCGACACGCTGCACGGCGCGTCCCCCCGCGATTTGCCCTCGCGGCGCGCGCCTTGAAGAAATTCATAAGCTTGACGCTCCGGTCCAGGGTAGCATGGTCGCACCTGCCACTCACGAAGCTGTGGAGAGCGCTCGTGTTGTCAAGCACCCACAGGATGCGCCTCCCTCGGCACCTCCGCGCCTCTTGCGCCAGGACAATGGGGACCATGGCCCCCTCACAGAGGGCGATCGGATTCGCGCCCCTCTCCCGGTCCGCCGGCGAGAAACCCCACTCCGCGAGTATGGCATCGTCGAATACACACCATCCTCCCACACGCTCCCCTGTCAAGCAATCGACCAGGAGGTAGCCGCCTGTGGGCGCGGTCGCCCCGTCAGCCCGCGCGTCGCTTGCGATCACAATCAGCGGACACGAGGGCGGGCTCACGTCGACGCTTCTCTTCGGGGCAAGGTCTATTACAAATTCGAAGTAATCGAAGCACCGCCGAATCGCGTGGGATAACGCCCACGGAGGCGCGTCAGTGTACTGCCTCTGCTTCAGCGGCGCCATCGCGGCGCTGCCGACGCCGTTGAACATCGCGGAGGACGACCACTGCAGAATGCCCCGGAGCTTCGAGGCCTCCGCTGGTGTCAGGCTGTTCCGCGCACGGTGCTCCGCGAGCAGGCCTTTGATTTTGTCAATCATGCTGGCCTTCGGCCAAAAGGAGACCACCCCTCTGCCTTCAAAAACCCGAGACACGTCGTGATCGACTCCCAGGAATGCCCCAGTGGCGGCCATGCGCTGCTGCTTCGCGCTGGCATTCGGGGTACCCAACTCCGAAAACAAGACGTTGAGTAAAGCCTGTCCCGAGCCTTTCGCCAATCCGAGGTCCCCAAGACTGCCATCATCGACATACATTGTGTGCAACAATGCCGCCACGCGCCTGGCAGCGGCTTCCAGAAAGGCAGACCACCGCATGAAATTCATAACACTCGACGACAAGCCGAACAGCATGGCGAACGCAGTCAAGTATCGCCACTCCCCGCTGCGCGGTTCCCGCGCCGCAATGACGTTATATCGCAGCTGCGCGGGATTGACCGGCACGGACCTGTATGCGCCCGGCAGGTCCTCGCCTCCAGTCTCAAGGGTTAAGCCCTCATCGGCAAAGCCTCCCGCCGCAGCTTCCTGCCTGAGGGCGCACGCCAAACACCGGGCCGGACCACGCCCCTTGGACACCGGAGGGGCCCACTAGGCCCACACGAACGGACCCGGGGGAACGGCCCGCGGGAAACCCGCGACACACCGGCCGGCGGGGAGGGGGAAAAGGCCACCTCCGGTGTTTGGCGTACCTCCCGACCGCTGCCTCAAGACTTTGCCATACAATGCAGGCGTGAACGCTGATGGCAAGTGCCACTTCTCAGGGTACACCGTCGCGCCGTTCTGCCCACCGGCTTTAGCATCGTCTATCCGCCGACGCTTGCCGTTCTGCTGCACGTGCACGAACGACGGCACGGCCGCCCAGCGCCCGGCGCCGTACTCGCGGTCCATCGCGGCCAGCGACGCCGGAGGAGCAGCCCAGCCCTTCTCGCATTCCTTCAAGCATGATTCCCAAAGAAACTCAGCCTCAGGATCAACCCGTCGCTTGTCCCTGGAACGTAAAAGCGCGGTGGACTCCGCCAACAAGCGGTCTTCAGAAACAGGTTCCGAACTTTCGCACCGCTCCCAGACACCCGTCTCCTCCAATCGCCCCACGATATTGAAGCCGGTCACAAATCTCTGGGCCAGCTGCCAATCCGGCCAACCCATCACCCAAGTCAGAACACAAATCAGCGCGATGTGGGTGTTCTGCGCCACGGCATGTACTGAGGGGCTTTGCCAGAGCCGAAGGGCGCGGGACACCGGCGCCAGCCTTTGACTAAGCTCCTTCAACGCCCCGGCGCAAGACTCGCGCCACTGCCTCAGCCGATTACCACCGGCCCACGCG